TTTATCTACCGCTCGTTCGGAAAGCTGTCTCATCACAAGAAGAACGAGCAAGAAACTTGCGTGTTGCTCTTTTAAATAATTTTATTATTACTTTACATTTTTAAGTTTAAGTGTGTGAATACAAACCACCAATTAGCACTAATTCAATTAAATACTCAAATAGAAAAAATATTGAATATATAACCAACTGGTTAAACAATTAATAAGAGGAAATCAGTCATAGTGATTAGAGCAGACCAGTTCCTACAAGCAGCACCCGTTCACGAGTATGACGGATGAGCCAGCCATCACTGCTCTCGACTATATTTTAGGGAGCCCAATGACCCGGCCCACCACGCCGCCACAAGTCTGGACATTTTAGTGAGCATGACTACTCAAAACACTAAACCACGTCAAAGCTACTTTCAATTGCCATCTGATAGTTATAGTATTCACATTTTACATTAGAATGCATGCGGCAATCAATACAAAAACCGCTACGCTTTCATATTTCTAAAATCAATCAATTAAATCTAGAAAGCAATGAGAAAATTAAATTATAACGTTGTATGCTAATAAACTAATTATTCTCTTTTTATATGTCACTTTTTGACTGTCGTGCGACCCATCTTGTGACATACATATAAACACGAAAAATTATTCTTCGTATGTCTGCGATGAACTCCTAAACTACTGAACCGATTGCAAATTTGATTTGCACATTGTGTGCAATTTGATCCAACTTGAAAGATAGGTTAGCTTATATATCAATTTATAGTCGCAATATTATTTTATTTAAGAACCTCACTATTTATTTTTATAAAGATTTATTGTACTCTACTATTTCTTTAGTAATAAGTATAGTATATGTAAGGAGCCAACAGAATGTCAGCGCTGCAGAGTTATCTGTAGCATTATGCTGAGTTGGCTACCTTTTCACTTTTGCGGCACATAAAGTCACCTACATTTCTTTTACTAATTCGTGTTTTTTCTGTATCTCATGTATGTTATGTTTCTGTAATTGTGAATAAAGAATTTATCTATCTATCTAGTCTCTTTTTATATGTTACATTTTGACTGTCGTGTGTCCCATCTTTTGAAATACGATTAATTTCTTCTTTTTATTGAATAATTATTTAGTGATCCCACTCGAGTTACATCTTTATAAAAATTACATGTCGCATTGTCTGCCCGCGATGGACTCCAAGCTATTGAACCGATTGCAAAATTGATTTGCACATTGTGTGCAATTTGATCCAACTTGACAGATAGGATAGCTTACATCTCAATTTATAGTCGCAATATTATTTTATTCAAGAACCTTAGCCACAGCAACGCGTGGCCGGGTCTGATAGTACGGTATATACGCTAGAATTTACTTATATGTATCTACATTAAAGAGATGGTACATAGTACATTCATTAACTCCCCAAGCCTTTGATGAACGTACGGACGGAACTATTTCCATTTCAGCTATTTGTATATATCTATAGTGAAAACTTTAACTAAACAGACGGTATAACACCTGCAAACATAATGCAGTGCAGTTGTAATTATAATTATGCATTTTGCGTGCATTCCCGCGCCCTCTAGCTCCCCCTAGCTCCTCCCTCGCGCCCCCGTGCACCGTCACACGTGTCACACTCCCGTTTCCCCGTCCCCCCCGTCCCTGCCCTCGCTCCGTACACACCTGCACAAAAATTTATAGAATAAAATGCGACCTAGACACATAGGTCTTTTTTTTTATAGAGATTTTTTTTATATAATCTGCACCCTACAGTTGAAACAGCTTACAAAGCAAGCTGCTTGCGGCTGATATAGATGCATGATTACAGATATTAACCATTTTGATTGGACAGTAAACAATAAAAAAACGAGTACGCCCTCAATCCAACATCGACCTACATGTGATCTTTATACCTACATTTCAATGTCAAATAAAAATGTTTAGACTTAAGTTTATTGCAAAGAAGACGATGCAATTGCAATTTGACGACGTCGGTGGTCAAGCGGTCTAGCACACCGCTTTACGTCCGATGGTCGCGGGTTCGATTCCTCGCACGGCACAAACATTTGTATTCATGAGTATGATTGTTTGTATCGATCTGGGTGTTTTCTATGTATAATATGTATATATTTACGAAAAAAAAATCTATGTACTTGTATCAGTTATCTAGTACCCATAACACAAGCTTTAGGTAGCTTAACGTGGGTCTAGATGGCGCTGTGTGAATTGTCCTGAGATAAAAAAAAAAATAGTACGTACTATTTGATATATATATGTATCTACAATTCTACACATTTACCTAGGTGTTACATATGCTAAATATGAAAAAACCCGAATATTATCCCATTCGGGAATTTTCCCCGGGTTTTTTCCCTATTTTTCCCCATATTGGGTTTTTTTCCGGGCAAAATACCATCTCTACAGCGGTTTCACCCGCGTTAAATTTTAATAAAAAAATATAGTATATATGTTATTCTGATGCATAAGCTATATTATTGTTAAGTTTCATCAAAATCCGTTCAGTAGTTTTTGCGTGAAAGAGTAACAAACATCCATACTCGCAAACTTTCGCGTTTATAATATTCTAACTACCCACCCTATAAACCTTCATATAAACCTTCCTCTTGAATCACTATCTGTTAAAAAAAACCGCTTCAAAATCCGTTCTGTAGATTTAAAGATTTAAGAATACATAGGGACGGACAGACAGCAACAACGACTTTGTTTTATACTATGTAATTATTAAGATATTAAAGCACTATTGAATAGTTATATACGTTTTAATCTATCGCTCATTTGGAAAGCTGTCTCATCACAAGAAGAACGGGCAAGAAACTTGCGTGTTGCTCTTTTAAATAATTGTTGTAACTTTACATTTTTAAGTTGTAATGTGTGAATACAAACTAATACTAATTCATTAGAGGAAAGAAATCTACAAAATTAATTATCTATCTTGTAAGAAACAACACCCCAGCAAAAAGATTAAAAAGATCAAATATCCTTGAGCTGGATGAAAGATTTCTAGCTAGCTGAAACATGGGGACCTTGTCAAAGGATAGAGATCCTCCCACGCCTACTACCAACAACTCACCTGCTTATAGTACCAGTACTGATTGCAGATACGTAACTACAAAAAAAAAATCTTGTAAGAAACATCACTAACAAAAAAACATCATCATCATGATCATAACCCATTATTGTCCTACTACTCGGCATTGATCACTGTATAAGAGAAGGATTTTTTGCTTAATATTAATAAAACTAGTGACCCGCCCCGGTTTCACATGGGTGCTCATTGCTTCGTAAGTTTATTATTATATTGGTGTATATGTAAATTTAGTAGTATATAACCTATATCACTATGGAATAACATACTTTTATAGCGGTGAAAGAAACTCTGAAATGATTGCAGTGGCTCTGGAGTTTGTTTTTGTCATAAAAATATCCGCTCTCTCTCTCTCTGTCTCTCTCTGTCTCTCTCTCTCTCTCTCTCTCTCTCTCTCTCTCTCTCTCTCTCTGTCTCTCTCTCTCTCTCTCTCTCTGTCTGTCTGTCTGTCTGTCTGTCTCTCTGGAGATGGTGGTAGAGATTTTTCAAGGAGGCCTTTCAGGAGTGGATGTCTTCCGGGCTGAAATGATGAAAGAGATAGAAAGCGGATTGATGCATGTGACAGACTATCACATCAGAGCTGCTTCGATTTTTTTAATAATAATAATAATAATATATTTTGTTTATTTTTTTATAATTTATTTTGCTTTCATTTAACATCTGTTGTAGATCAATGCGAAGTCGGGGCATGTTGCTTGTATATTGTACATAAATTAAAGTGAAAAGTTTATATTTAATGTAATATAATAAAATATGTTGTGCTGTAATTAAACACTTTAGGATTTATTTAACCTCTCGAGCTCTTAGGCATCATATGGAAACAAAAATGTGAACAGACAAACAGATATGGGACTAAACGGCCAGTCCGTTTAGTTTTGCCATCCCTGTAATGCACAATAAAGATTTTTTAAAATTTTTGTTACATTTGTTTTAATTTGCCTCCCTATATATATATACCAGGATATGCCACGGTAACTGGTTGCACGCAGAGTAATGAAGCTGATTACCACTGCAGCTGAAAAAAAATCATCATATACACTGATTTATAAAACTTAGGTAGATTGTAGATAGTCTTCCAAAATGTTGCCTACTTCCTTAAATGCTATTGATGAAATTAAGAGTAATCTTTAATATACCTCAGAAAAATGACCCTAAAGGGGGTCAGATGTCGCTGTATTCTGTACTTACAATAGTATCAAGACAGCTTCCTTGACCACTGTAGCTTGAAGGTTTTTGAGCAAAGCACAGCAATCTGTCACATGAAGTGTTTAAGTCGAATCGTCTGAAACACGGTAGTATTGATTCTAGTGTTAATAAGTATCAGGCCAACCGTATGCTTGATTTCCACTCTCATATAGAGACTCGTCTGCGTGGGTACATCAATATCACCTATTTCATCAATATCACCTATATAAGCAGCTTGTTTTGTAAGCTGTTTCGACTGTAGGGTGCAGATTAGGCAAAATTACAGGATAAATGACTGAATAGAGAGCCATTACAATTGAAAAAAATGCATGGTTTAAATCAGTGGTTCCCAAACTTTTTTGGGTCGTAGATCGCTATGTTTTACGGTTTTGGGTAGACCCCCCATTCTTACCTGGTATTGATTTTTTGTAAATTTCTAACTGTAGTAAAGTTTAGTGTTGAAAACTTAAAGTAAAAACAACAAGATGACCGCTATCATAGACCCCTGGAGGTCGATATAGACCATTTTGGGAATCACTGGTTTAAATTAATCACGTTATGTGATATAAAAAGTATATTTATTAGACAGACGCTCACAACTCGTCCGTTCCGTGCACAGGCTGCTCGTATAATGACCTTTTTGGCCTAGTCACTGTTCACAGGCCGCCATCTTGTGAAAAATGATAACATCTTAGTAACAGCTTCTTATTGCAAATGTTTCAGAATATCATGGTCAAGGTATGGACGCGGGCGGGAACAATTTTGACTCCGGTAAGTTTCTACCCTTTTTATGTACCCTTGAAGGGTAAAAGTAGATTTCTCTTTTATAATACGTAATAATAGTAAGGTAAGAAGGGATGTAAATGGAATAGGGAAGAAGCAGTATTTTTTTATAACACGGGACAAACGAGCATGCGGCTCACCTGATGGTAAGTGATTACCGCCGCCCATGAGCACCCGCAACACCAGGGGAATTGCAAGTACGTTGTCGGCCTAGATGATGATGATGATGATGAATACGTAATAATAGATCATATCAATATATTTATTTATTTATTTCAAATTCAAATTCAAAATATCTTTATTCATGTAAGTCTATTACAGACTCTTATGATATGTCAAATCTACCGTCAGTTCGGAATGATTTCGAGATGAGAACTGACAAGAAGCTCAGCTCGTATTTTTTTTTAAATAAATGTTGTACATATTTACAATAATACAGATTTATTTAAATTCAAATTTGGGAGAATAGAGTGACCAGTGATCTGCTTTATTGACCGCAAAAATTGGTACAAAAGGAGGACTTAATGATATAGCATTCTGACCCAGTCAACCTTTGGGATCTGCAGAGATACTTGAATGCGGCTATAAGAATTATAATAACAAAATATATATAAATACGTACATATAATATACTAGCTGTTCCCGCGACTGCATCCGCGTGGAATTTTACCTTACTTTTCTAAAATAAAAGCAGCCTAAAGAACTAAAAAATATTTTGTTCGTCTTAATTTATTCGTTCCATTAGGTACGGATAGGTTCAAACTAATACATCCTGCATCATCCCTTATTTTATCCCCATGGGGGTTGAATTTATCAAAATCCTATTTAAGCGAACGTCTTCATCATAGTAGCTCCAATCTTTAATTTCAGTTCAGTACTTCAATCAGTCGAAAATCTAAGAAGATTTATACAAACTTTCATCCCCTATTTTATCCCCTTAGGGGTGAAATTTACCAAAATCCGAACTGACATCATAAGAGTCTGTAATAAGACCTACATGAATAAAGATATTTTGAATTTGATTTCACTGAAGTCGAGTCTTCTCGAAGGTTCCTTAAATGTATATGACTATGATAATACTATTCTATAATTATTCTATTATTAGATATTTTTACGATATTAAAAACTAAGGGAATGGCAAAGAAGCTAACAACCACCTGATGGTAAATGGCAACCGTCGTCTATATACGTGCTCGTCGTCTGATTACAAAAGCAATCGTTATAAAAGAATCATTCCATAGTATAAAATAAAGTCGCTGTCGCTGTCTGTCCCTATGTATGCCTATATCTTTAAAACGACGCAACGGACTTTGAAGCGGTTTTTTTTAATGGATAGAGTGATTCTACAGGAAGGTTTATATATATATAATACGTGTACACTCGTGCGAAGCCGGGGCAAGTAGGTAGTAGTTCATAAATCAAATAGAATAATTAATTCTGAAACTACTGAAGCGTACGAATCGTAGCATAATTATGTTGTAACATAACTTCCTCGTGCAACGTCGAGCAAAGCAAATTCCTGTTTTATAACAGAATAGGCGGGAGTTACGTCAACGATGGGCCTCGTAACTAGGGCTGCCAAACTTTAAATGTAATAGCCTATTAACAAAAAAAGAAGAATAACCTGGACAATTCTTTGGGGGAGGCCTGTGTCCAGCAGTGGACGTCTTCCGGGCTGCGATGATGATGATGATGATGAACCTGGACAATTCTTTAGTCGTGCACGCCTATGTGCGTGAAAGCCTGTCAGTGGCTTAGTATGACGTTTATAGCGATTTTATTTAAGTACTAGCTTTTGCCCGCGGCTTCGCTCGCGTTAATTTATCCCCTTAGGGGTGAAATTTATCAAAATCCTTTCTTAGGGGATGCCTACGTTAAAGTAGCTTTATGCATGCAAAGTCTCAGCACGATCGGTTTAAAATTGACATAGTTTCATACAAAGTTTCATCCCCTATTTTATCCCTTTGGAGGTAGAATTAATCAAAATCCTTTCTTAGCGGATGCCTACGTCATAACGTCTACCTGCATGCCAAAAATTCAGCCCGATCCGTCCAGTGGTTTGGGCTGTGCGTTGATAGATCACTATGTCAGTCACTTTTGAGTTATATATATTTAGATAGTCAGCATTGGTTTTCCTCAAATAAATAAAATAAATGTTGGCATCCCTGCTCTTACGTTGTATGAATGCTTAATTAGAAATCGGAATATACATAGTCAATTACATAACAACATATGCACACGATTGTGTTTTATAATATGATTTGATTGCCATGAAACGTGAGGGCATCGCGGATTAGTGGTTAACTTGTCTGGCTTTGTATTGGAACTTTACCAGTTCAAATTTGGCCGATATGAAAATATATTTGTTATGTTATTTATTAAGATTCGGGTGATAGAAACGCTGATAACAAACTGAAATTAGTTTCGTTCAAATGAATAAATATGTATTGATTGGCTTTGAATTAAAATTATAATTGAAAACATTAGTGGTTTCTGTGGTCTAGTGGATTACCACACGGCTTTACTCCTGATCGGGGGTTCGATTCCTCGCACAGTGTAAACATTTGTATTCATGAGTATGATTGTTTGTATCTATGTATGTATGTAGTAGGATTGTTTGACTACCCTATCCAGGATAAAAGTCGTGTAATTTCATTTTGTCTTATTTTGTACTAGCTACTCACCCCGGCTTCGCCCGGGTATACATGTATTATACATATAAACCTTCTTCTTAAATTACTATTGAAAAAACCGCTTCAAAATCCGTTGCGTAGTTTTGAAGATTTAAGCATACATAGGGATGGACAGACAGCGACAGCGACTTTGTTTTATACTATGTAATGATATGTAGAATACACCCAGACTAATACAAATAAACTCATGAGTACAAACGTTTGTATTGTCCGGAAATCGAACCCGCGACCATCGGAAGATGGGGCAATATGTGAATTTAATTCGTTATAGTACAAAGGTGGTCACTGATTGATGATGTGCTTGGCTTCCAGGTCAGCAATCACAAGAGCAGGAGTTGGCGACGAAGATGCTCCAAATTCAGTCCAAGCGTTTCTACCTGGACGTGAAGCAGAACCGGCGAGGCAGGTTCATCAAGGTTGCAGAGGTTCGTGATATTATTTTATTTAGAACACTAACTGTCACCAGCGTTTTGGTCCTATTGCATTTTTTTTAGTTTGAATTAAAATAATTCTATAATAAAAGTGGTCTAAGTTACTCTTTATAACGGTAGCTATCTGCGAGTGAAAGTCTCGTCAAAATCGGTCCAGCAGTTTCAGAGATTAGCAAGAACAAACATACAATCAAATTGCTAGAGCGTAAACACGAGTGGAAGAACTTCCCAAGCTATTGTCGCTGCCACTCGCGCTGCTCGGCGCTCTCTCGATTGTCGGTTTTTCGTGCGCGAGTTAAGGGACTGGCAGCGCGAGTGGCAGCGTGTTTTTACATTCAGCCCTCTCGTTCAGTTGTCGCCCAGCTATATTTCCAGCAGCGCGAGTGGCAGGGGAAGCGGCTGAATGTAAACATAGAGATATTACATTTTATATATAAGCAAGTGCAGACAGCACTGTGGTGGATGTTTTGTTTTGCATAGTGCGATAGTGATCTTCGATAATATGGCTGCCATAATAAACAAGACTATTTAATGAGGGGGTTATGTAATACTGATAGCGTGCTATCGGACGATTTTACCAACTACAACTATATCTATACATATAAATAAAATTAGCTTTTGCTTCTTTCGCGTTAAGAACTATTATTATTAATTAGGTATACTTTTTGCGGCTTTACTTTTATTTCCTTTCTTAGGAGATGCCTACGTCATAGTAGCTTTATGCATGCAAAGTCTCAGCCCGATCGGTTTAAAATGTCATCCCCTTGGGGGTAGAATTAATCTCTTAGCGGATGTTATATATATTTAGATCCGTCCAGTGGTTTGGGCTGTGCGTTGCTGTACACGCGACTTCGTCCGCGTGGAATTTAACTTAATTTTCTAAAATAAAAGTAGCCTAAGTTACTCATTATTATTATTTTGGCAGGTAGTTGATCTACCTGCCAAAAAAATTCGTCAAAATCGGTCATTTAGATCGGGTCCAATCATGGAGCTGTGTGCTGAATTGACCTGATACATTATTGTTGTTGTAGAGTCAGTTTGGTTTTTTTAACTTTTCACGCATAAACGGAGGACGGATCTTAATAAAAAATTATATGGATTTAGATTGCATCTCGTAGACAAACATAGAACTATCTTTATCTAAAAAAAAGCAGATGAAAGTCGCGGGTAACTGCTAGCTTACATAGCTGGGTTAGTAAAGTTTTCAACGGAGGAGACCTCATGACGAATGACACTTATTCTGTACGTATTTACAAAAAAACAATGTATCTTTGTATTTATATCAGTTGTCTAGGACCCATACACAAGCTCTGCTTATATAAAAATTATTTGTGTGTGTCAGATTGGCGCGGACGGCCGGCGTAGTCAGATCTTCCTGGCGATGTCGACGGCCGCGGAGTTCCGCGACCACCTGACCAGTTTCAGTGACTATTACTCGTCGTTGGGGCCGCCCAACCCGGACACTGTGCCTGATGACGGCAAGCTCAAGTCAGAGATGATGCTCAAGGTGAGGACCACCCACTCTGATACCACCGCCTACTCTCATACCGCCGCTACCCATTCTCATATCACCACCTACACTCATACCACCGCCACCCATACTCATACAGCCACCCACTCTCATACCGCCACCCACTCTCATACCGCCGCTACCCACTCTAAAATCACCACCCACTGCCATACCGCCGCCACCCACTTTCATATCACCACCCATCCTCATACCACCACCCACTCTCCTACCGCCACCCACTCTCATATCACCACCCACTCTCAAACCACCGCCAACACGTATACCACTATCCACTCTCATACCACCTTCATCATCACCGACTCTCATGTCATCATACAAGTATTAGCGGCATATGAGAACTTAGTCCTTCAGATCGGCAACTTATGGGTACTAAGTTCCTTATTACATGATGTACTCACTATCATGTTTATAGGCGACAGCTGTCACTCTCGAGGCAGCTGGGCTGTTAGCATGGTTGCCATTTTCGTCACAACAAAGTAATATGTTATTGATTGTTCGTATTATATAATATATTCAATTCCTATAAAATTTTGCCAAATTTTCTAATTGTTTTCAATCAATAAGTTTCTTTGTTAAATAGGTATCTGTATATATTGGTTATAAATGGATGTCTTAACGTTTTGACTGAGATTAGACGTAAATATGTGTAAAAGTTAATTATGAGTACGGTGTACGGGGCACAGGACAACCGGCGGTACTACCTGGACCTGAAGGAGAACTCCCGCGGCCGGTTCCTGCGCGTGTCGCAGACCATCACGCGGGGCGGCCCGCGCAGCCAGGTGGCGCTGCCCGCCCAGGGCATGATCGAGTTCCGGGACGCGCTCACCGACCTGCTCGACGACTTTGGCGTCGACGACGGCGGGTGAGCACTCACACTCCCCACACTCCTCACACTACCCACACACTCCACCCGGGACGCGCTCACCGACTTTGGCGTCGACGACGGCGGATGAGCACGCACACTCCTCACACTACCCACACACTCCACCCGGGACGCGCTCACCGACCTGCTCGACGACTTTGGCGTCGGCGATGGCGAGTGAGCACTCACACTCCCCACACTCCCCACACTCCTCACACTACCCACACACTCTACCCGGGAAGCGCTCACCGACCTGCTCGACGACGGCGGGTGAGCACTCACACTCCCCACACTCCTCACACTACCCACACACTCCACCCGGGACGCGCTCACCGACCTGCTCGACGACTTTGGCGTCGACGACGGCGGGTTAGCACTCACACTCCCCACACTCCCCACACTACCCACACACTCCACCCGGGACGCGCTCACCGACCTGCTCGACGACTTTGGCGTCGATGACGGCGGGTGAGCACTCACACTCCCCACACTCCTCACACTACTCACACACCACCCGGGACGCGCTCACCGTCCTGCTCGACGACTACGGCGTCGACGACGGCGGGTGAGCAACTCACTCTCCGTACTCTCCACACTCGCCACACTCTTCAGACTAGCCACAATCGCCACACTCGCCACACTCTCCACACTCGCCACTTTCGCCACACTCTCCACACTCGCCACTCTCGCCACACTCTTCACACTCTCCATACTCCCCACACTACCCACACTCCTTACGCTCCCACCAACGATGGGATAAATCAGACAAATTACAGGATTGCAAACGTGTTATCCCACATGATGTATATAGGCCACGCTTGCCACTTACTATCAGGCGGGTCGTGGGCTTGTTTGCCATTTCAATTGCTTAATAATCCCCGCTCAGACGATCTGCTACAGTAATACTATAGCCACTGCACACTTGCTCTTTTATATATGCATTCCTCCCTACACATACCAAACAGAACTGGAAATATAATAAATTCGGTCCATCTTCTCGGCTATTCTGTTATAGCCTTTATCGGTAAATTAATACAATAAAGAATTTACTACGACGATAGCACTAAAGTTTGAAATTGTCTTCTACTGACAAACTAATTAAACATTAAAAAATTGACGATAACAAAATGAAATAAAAATATACGTACTCATCCTACATACGGCACTGTTGCAGTTTCAAAGGCGAGCTGCCTGAAGGGCGCCACCTGCGCGTAGACAACAAGAACTTCTACTTCGACATCGGCCAGAACAACCGCGGCATCTACATGAAAGTCAGCGAGGTGGTACCATCGTTGCAAGTAATTGTAGCGCCGGCGCGGCGCGCGCTCACTACCTCGCTTGCATCCACCACTGCCACTCACTCACTCCCACTCATTGGCTACTCATAGTTAAAAATATAACTCATTACTCTCGAAGTAATCAAATAGAAATGATATTTACTCAAATCTTTTGTGACTTTATGTCATTCAGAATCTTTGTCATTCTCTCTCATTTTGTTTGTCATTGTCACATTCAAGTTACTTGCCCATTCTTCTTCTCTTTAGTCCAAACTAATTACAAAAAGAATGAGCAAGAAACTTGCGTGTTCCTCTTTTAAATTGATAAACATTCCTTCAGTTTGTTAGGCACAAAAAAAATATTAGAAAAGATGTAAAACACAATGCAACCCTTGTTTTAAGTACAGTATAACAGTGGCCGGTGTAAGGTTGTATGCGCGGCGCTGTCGCCGTAAAAATGCATATCATGCGTCGATTTTTGTTGTTTTGTTGTTTTTTTAGCATTATAACTATGTGTTACTGAGAGTAATGTATGTGTAGTTTATTTGTGGATGTTGTGGAAATTTCTATATATAGAGATTCCCAAATAACTTGGGTATATTTGGGAAGCTGCAACTAAAAGTAGTGAACAACCAAATGGAAAAAATCACATCAATTGTTCGACGAAATCAAACAGATCCAACCCTCATTAGGATGACAAAGAACTAAATATATATATATTGTATAGCTACCACTTACTTTTGTCCATCTAGATTTAGTAGATATAATCCACGAAGGTCAGTTTTAGTCTCATTTCTTGTAATCGATGGAGATATTCAGTGGATACAGCAGTAAACATAATTTATTCGTGATTACATCACAGTTGCATGTATGACATAACTAAATGACGTAGTGGAGTAACTTGAAACAGTCATGCTCGCTATAAAGTTCAAACTTGTGGCGGCGTGGTGGGCCGGGTCGATGTGCTGACTAGGGTGCCCTAATCCATCGCGGGGCCCTGGCCGCGTGCCTAATGTGCTCAGTGGGTAATAGAGTAGGGACTAGACTAGACTAGACTAGGGTCCTAATCCATCGTAAGCCCCTGGGCACGTGCCCAATGTGCTCAGTGGGGAAAAGGGGATTGAATATTTTTAATAGTATATAGTGGTATATGTCAAGTCAACAGCGGTTCCTTTTGGTGTAGTGGAACTAGAGGTGAGTGATCTAATCTCATCTGCATCCTTTCAACATTCACTGCTGTTACGCCCGTATAGTATTAGGACACGAGGGATCGTTCCATATACTCCATTTCCAGTTCCATAGACTCGGCAAATGAACTAATAAGAGCGAATGTCGAATTTCAGGTGAAAAGCAACTTCCGCACCGCGATCACTGTCCCCGAGAAATGTTGGACACGCTTCCGCGACATCCTCGCCGACTACTGCGACAAGATGTGTCGCGCTCAGCATCCGCTGGACCAACACCAGGTAACGTCCGCCGCAGATAGCTAATGTTATAAGAAGTAATTTAGACGACTTTTAGAAATTTTATTCAATAGCTACTATCGCTTGTAAGTAATATGTCCCCGGTGGTTGTTGCAGGGCGGCGGACCCCCGGGGGGCGGCGCGGGGGGCGCGGGGGGCGCCGGCGGCCGCGCAGGCTCCTCGCAGCCCGCGCCGGACATAGTCAGTATACCACACTAGTCGTACACGCACACTCGCACGAACACACTCACACACACTCACAGCCGCATACAGACTTGTATACATTCACATACACACATGCACACTCACATATACATATACACACTCACATACCCACGTACACACTCACATATACACATACACACTCACATACCCACGTACACACTCACATATACACATACACACTCACATACCTACGTACACACTCACATAACCACGTACACACTCACATATACACATACACACTCACGTACACACTCACATAACCACGTACACACTCACATATACACATACACACTCATATATCCACGTAAACACTCACATATAGCATGTTTTTACCTTCATTGACTATTCTGAATAGATTTACGCAACAGATGATCATTATTTTTTGTCGAGATTTGAAATTGGAATGAATTTGAAAATGGAATTTGTAAAACAGGATCGGTTGCGGACGTAGGCGTGTACAGGTGCGTGTTGTGTTGTGTTGCAGGAGGCGGGGTGCGGCGCGCCGAGTCGGATTTGATGGTCGGGCGCGCGCGCCGCGAACTGAACGCCGCCCGCGCGGGCCGGGCCCGGGCGGGGCGGGGCGGGGCGCGGCGGGGCCCGGTGGGGCGCGGTGGGGCGCCCCGCCCCGCCCCACCGCGGCCCCGTCCCACCCCGACGTCGGTTCCGCTGTGTTTCCACCCAGAACGCTGACACCCCGTGTACATAGTATTTTATATACGTATCCTAGTATGTTACATATTTAGGCGCTGCGAGTACACGCTCGGGACGTTCCCGCGGTCTCGGACCTCGAAGTTGACGCGTTCGTAGCGCGAGCTACTCTCATCTTTGACACGTTAGTTGTAAGGTAATGTGATAAACACGTTTGAGCTTTATTATTTTCGGTTTCGTTGTATGTAATGTGACGGTGGAGCGCGGCCGCCGCGGTGTCCGCGGACGTGTATACTACTGTGATCCTACCGAGCGATCTGTACTAGCCTCCCGCTCGCGGTCGGGCCCCGCGCGCCCTGCTCTGTCGGGCCCCGCGAGCCCCGTGCGCCCCGCGCTCCGCTCAGCATTCATGTTTGTGGCCTTTTAATCTAAATTATTACTTGTATAGCAGCCCGAGGGCACCTTACTTTCCCGGAACTAACATTTAGACAGCTTTCAGCGTTTCTTTTATTTTACGTTACTTTTTTATTTGTGTAAATAGTTTGGCACGAGCGAATTACGTTGACGTTATTCCAGTTACGAGTCATAATTATTTTTAAGTACGATATTAGTCAGGCGATGCGCGACGGGATGACCGAGCGGTGCGAGATCTGTGCGACCGAATGCATCCCTGGCATCATAAATAAAATAATGAAAGAAAATAAAAAAAAGTTAAATGTAAAATGCCACTTATCTAGTTTGTAGGTGTATGTGTTTTTTTTTTAATATGGATTATTTAATGATATCGTATCGTATGTTTACACTGAGATGCATACGGCAGGCAAGGAAGTGCGCGCCCACACCGCGCCGCGTGCCTCGCCCCGGGGACGGGCCACGTGTCCACGTCGTCCCCACTCCTTAATGAGACGTCCAATAATTGTTTTCTGTCGCGACCGTGGGGATAGCGTGGACTTTACTAGAACAGGAGTGACCCCACGAGTGAGATCGACCGTTGTGGTAGAACTGTCCTCATGGGTATAGAATTATGTCCCCATGGAAATAGTCCTTTCCCTAACGGCACGACTGCCCTGCTCGGCATGGCCGTCAAGGCAGAGGGGCACCTCCTCGCGGGGCACATCTGTCACGGCAGGAGTGTCCCCGCGGGGCACATCTGTCACGGCAGGAGTGTCCCCGCGGGGCACCCCTGTCACGTAGGAAGTGTCCCCGCGGGGCACCCCTGTCACGTAGGAAGTGTCCCCGCGCGGCGTGTTGCGGGGCGCGGGTGGGGCGCTGGTCACCGGGTGTTTACTGGCGGCCGGTGCGGGCCCCGGCCGGCCTTAGGTAGGAGCGCTGCTGTGATATATCGTACGTACGTACGTGTACGTGTACGTGTACGTGTCTGTACGTACTGGCCGGCGACAATGTGTCGCGCGCGGACGAGGCCGCCGCACAAGCATTGTTCTGTTACTCTTTTGCGTACAAATCTCATTACTATACACTTTACTAAATTCACGTATCGTTTTATTACAATCAATATATTTAGTTATCATATTTATATTATATAACACCCTGTAGTTTTTAGTATTTTTCTTCAAAAAATTTTTTTAAATATATTTTTATAACGGTAAGTAAAAGATAAACAGAATTATACATCGAAATCGAATAAAAGAAAATCTCAAAATTCCAAATTATTAGTGATTAGATTAATATATTTTTTATTTAAAAAAAAAAAAACGACGCGTTGTCTCTGGCATTCGTAGAGAATCATTTGTTTTTTCGTTTATCCGCCTATTTGATAGAGACGGCGTCGGTGCGCGGCCTCGTTCACGTGGGTAGGTTAAGTTTGGTTATGTAAGCACCCTGGTCTGATTGGTCGCTGTCCAGTTGCTATTGGGCTCTTTGATCACGTTTTTAATCTGTAGAAACACGAAGGCACTGTCAAAATTTGGCTTTAATTAATTTTACTATTTTAAAACATGTGAAATGAAATCTATAACACCAATTAGTTAAGTGAATTTAATGAAATATTACGGGCTCTAAATTACTTTTTTTTAAACAACTGTAATGAAGTAAATGATCGTTTATTGTCCAAGAAAAAAATATATGTACAATGAAATAATAAAAATGAGGAAATGAGATGGATATATCTATATATATATATGTACTGCGCCGGACCGAGGATCCAATAACAACTGGACACGTGACGCGAGCGTGAATGTGTGCGTGCATGTGTGTGTATATATGTATGTATGTATGTGTGTGCGCGGGACGCAGTAGCTTAAGAAAGCATTACAACAGGCGTCGGGCGTGCCTTCCACTTACTTTACTGATGTATTTATGCATTTTGTTTTGTTCTCCTCCCCCTTACGACTATCAGTGCATCACTGTTTCACCCTTTATTGGTAGCTTCAAGCGACACGGTCGCTTACGACAATTTTAGCTCGAAATCAAGACTATAATTTTGTAACGTCAAATACATTTGATTTAACTCAACATCGTTGTCGTAAATTATTCATTTTTATTTTTAGTTTTTATTATATATTTTATATTGTAGTTATATCACTTTATATATTATACAGTTTCTTGTCAGAATAAACTTTGTATTCCGCCAGTGAATGCATTATTAGCATATCTTTTTTTTTATTTCTCGCGAGTTGTCGTTTAATTTTCTAGCTTCGTACCCGCTTGATGTTCAGCGACGCTGCAGTTTTGTATACATTGTACCCTTATTCCCCTGCTGCTGTTAAGGCCCTTCGCGTGTTGCACTGCAACTTGTGGACCACAGCGGGGACATATTGTATCTTTTAAACTAGTTGTAAGATTTATTGTGTACGGCCGACTACTATCTGTTAATTAAGTTTAAATTTAATGCAGTCGTAAGGTTACATTAATTTCATATTTTGTTTAATAATTTGTGAGTTCATATCGTATTTTATTCCGCGAATGTGACTCGCGGAGGGCCTTGCATTGCTTATCCATCATGTTCCTCACACTACATTGCAAAATTAACTATAGGTAGCTTTGCCATCGGGATCCGTTCGGAATTATCGAATAACATTTACGCTGTCCCGTTCTGGCGACTCACCGGCGACTAAAAGTCGTCGAGTGCGTGATCACATGTGCATTCAACTGTAAACGAAATTCTACAGATCTTTATTATGTAATATGAATTGAAGATGTTTAGTTGTTAGAGATCTGGAGAAATCGTGCTCTACACGCAATATTAATGTAATTTTCACTCTTACAAAGTATCATAGAAATAGTTGACGGTTTAGATCGCATCCCTCGATTCTACGCCTAGTTTCGAGACGTGTGGCCGTAACCGGGTGCAGTCTAAATCGATCTCTAAATAGGTTAACTTACAGTACATTTGCCTCTGGTGACCATAATGTTTAACATAGTGTGGAATAAGTTGGTGACGTCCGATAAAGTGTTACGTATAGAAAAAAGAAAATATAAAAAAAAAATACACTTTCTATATGAATAATAAAATAGAAATATATGCAGCGGGGGCGGCTCGGTGTCATGTTTCGGTGTAAGTTAGGATAGTTGTGTTTCGGTGGTCGGGGAGCCCCGGCCCCGCGCCGCGAGCCCCGCGCCCCGCCCCGCCCCGCCCCGGCCCGGGCCCCGGGCCCCGGGGCGCGGGGACACGCGGGGCGCGGGGCGCGCGGGGCGCGGGGCGGCGCGCGAACATAGTCCGGTGTTCTGTATCGCTTGTCACGTTGAAGATGGCTCGCGGGGGGGCGCACTCGGCCGCTGTCGGTCCGTCTGTTGTGTAAATAAAGAAATTAAAGTTAAACTGTTTGACGGTTATCAATATACCGGGTGTCAGTAGATTAGTTATAAAATAGAGCCACTGAAAGATAATATATACAATAATTAGGCATTTTCATTAATATTACATTTAGTTGATTACCTAACATATGGAAAGTGAAAAAAAATATTTTTTTTAATATATATAAGTATAAGAGAGTGACGATGTTGGGGTCAATCTATAAAATAATCAAAAAGTTTAGTTGATACATTGATCATTAATTCATTTGACATTGGCACCCTGTATATATATTATATTCATATGTAACATTACACCGATAAAGCAAAAAGCACTTTATTACTAGATCTTCATTCGTATCGTAGTGACATTTTAATTTGTTTCTTAGTAATCTGAAACTTTCAAGATATGTATGATAGTTTTGCTTTTCATTTAGCGGTGTACATATACATTATGCATTCATGAATCACGTGTGCCTCCCCGCGACTAGTGGATTAATTTTAACAACAAATTCATGGTACAAAATCTAATTTTAGTTCCATAGACAATTAAGATCTACAGAGTTTATATTTAGATGAGATGAGATGAGATATAAAGTAATAATTATGAACCTCAGCCGGACGTGCCGGCCTACAGTCAATAAAGTATAAATTAATGCTATATAATAAAGATGTATAACGTAAAGTTAATATTAATATAGTGTTGTATATGTTGTGGAGCTAGTTACTGCGTGGGTTTAAGTCGGCAATAGGCAGTAGGTATGTGGATGTTTCGCTAAGGAGATTTTCATTTTCTCGGAGTCTGTCTGTCTGGTGGGGCCGGCGGAGCAGTGACATCTTACTATTGTATTCAAAATCTATGAAAAAAATTATCCGGCTCGAAGGACCATCGACCTTATTGAATGTAAAAATTAATTTAATCTCTTTCATAACGTTTGCTCACGTTTGGTTTGATATGTAAATGAGCCTACGCTGGTCCGCCGGCCCTGTGCGCAGTTACCGAGTGCTGTCCGCGAGTGGCCGAGTGCTCGAGTCCTGCCCCCTGTGATACCTCGCGCGGCGCCCCACGACCCCCGACCCCCCGACCCCCCACCCGTACGTCAGTCATCCTCACCTCGCTCGTATTACTCGCCT